TATTATGGAGAATTAAGAGATATACACGAGAACAAAAGCAGGGTTTTGACTGTTAAAGCCGCACTTTAACTCATTTCGTCGCAATTGAAGAACACATGACCGACAATGAACGATTTCAAATGTCTCGCAAAACCCAGAGGCACCCAACGAGAATATACCACTTAAACATACATTGTTAAACGTATTTTAGTATTTCAATGGCAGATATAGGCATATTCTCATCCCCTAAAAATTTTCCATCTGCTCGGATTTCCTAGCTGAAAGTCCAGCGTTCCGAAAATTATAGGGATCAAAACTTACCTTTTCGAAAATTTCAGCCAGAAAAAAGGCTCCCGAAAATTCTACGTGACCTTTTTAAGGTAAAAATCCGTTAAAAATGGGCAATTATACCATTTTTTAGATGTTCGAAAATCCTAGAAGAGGCTTGCAAGCAAGAAATTTTACAGCAAATGTTCCGAAAATGCTAGATCCCAAATCGTCTTCCGAACAGATATTTTCCGAAAGTATACGTTGGGTGCCCCTGAAAACCGTCGTGAACTCTCTTGCTGACGGCATTGTACAGCTTGCAATTCTCTGCATTTACATGAGGAGAATTATCAATTACGATTGAGCAACAGTAAACATTTCCGTTTTGATTCAACCAAGAAACATTTCGTTTCAGAATGATATTTCCTTAAAACCATGAGATTGGGAGTCTTGTCATGAGAAAAGTTAAAAAATGTGAGAGTCACGACAGTATCGAGAGCTCGCCTCGACGAGTGAAAAAAAGGTTCAAAAATTCATAAACGTCTGTCTCAAAGTTGGCCATGCATAGTGCTAATCTGAAACATATCAAATTCCACATGAAGACAGCTTATCGTCCTGTGAAAGGTACAAAATCATAACGTCAGAAGCTCTGGGCACAATCATGCGCGCTCAGCACTTCTTGATCGCGGAACGGGAACGATCGATCTACGACAATTGTTGCTTTGATATCGGAAGTTTTCGTGCGATCCGACTAATTACGAAAGGTGTCTACATCCGAGTGACACACTTGCATATCGCAGTGTCCACAATAACTCGTTCCTGACGCTACGCGTAATCCACGAGTTAAAAGGGGGATCGGGCTTCTTTCGGGCTTCTTCAGGGTTTTTATTCTAGGAATAATAAAATAACATTGAATAGTAAGAAAAAATCCCTGCAGAGACTTATTTTGGTGAAAAAAATTCCTGCAAATAGTAATGCTGAAAAAGAAAATTCACACTAAGAAGAAATTGCCCACCAAGAATCATTGCGGAGAGCAGGTAGGTTTTTCATTTACAGCGGACACTAAAACAAATTGTATTTCGCTAATTTCTGTTGTTTAAAACCTATTAAGCGGACGCCCGACTGAATTGACAATTCATTGAAATACGTACTGTAGTCGATTAATAAAGATAAATCAATACATTTAGCTGTCAAAAGACCGATATCCGGCCGTATGATTGTCATCCGCGATCAGAGTTAACCTAAAAGTTTGGAACAAAGCACAGAACAGCTTCCTTAGTTGCCTCAACAACTTGGAACTTTATCACAGTACAGAGTAACCGTTGACTGTTAATCGTTAACAAACATTGCGCTATTTTTACAAACCTCTATTAAGCGGACACCCTATATTAGACGGACACTTGGGAAGGTCCCGAAGGTGTCCGCTTTGTAGAGGTTTCAATGTAATTTAACAAGTGAAAATTAATGGATGTCAGGTATCATAAAAAAATGAGAGGAGAGATGACATACGGAACACTCACGAACGAGCAATCGTATTTATTCAGCTCCATATACATGTATTCAAGAATAGCGAAGTTAAGGGGGCATTATGGTTGGTTTTTTGGAGAAATTATGTTGATTTGGGAAGAAAATAAATTTGGGTAGAAAAGGTATGCACATAAACCGGTGCAGTTAATCCGCTGATGGGATGAGAGGCACCTTTTAATTGTTGTGGTGGTAGACTATCTGGTAATTGTCTACAAATTATTCACTTCATATTTTAATTTTTAACAACCCCCAAATCCAATAATTTATTTTCCCATTTTCCCCAAATTTTAAACATCTTCCTTCCTAGCCTGCGTAGCTGGCGGTATTGTGTAGTAGTCGAGTGAGATCTGGCGGCTTCGCCGCAAAGGCGGAGTAAGCCGTGAGAAATTCAAACGCCTCGTCCCCTCTCCCTTTCTTGGATCACGGCTCCGCCGCCAAAACGTAAATGGTGCAGCAAAACAATACCACCAGCTACGCAGGCTACTCCCTCCCTAAATTTTATGCGTTAAAACATTTGAAAATCGTTGAAAAGTTGATAAATAATTATCGAGTTAAGGACTGTAACTTAAGTGAGACATTTTTGGATCGAATGGGATCTTGGCTAGATATTTAAGAAAAAGGGCTGGAAATCAACGAAAAAATAACGCTTCTAACCGAACTGCCCCCTTAAAGCCGTTGAAAAAATGATAAGTTCGTCGATACCAGAACCTCGTTAAGGTAGGAGGAG